TTTATTTTAACATTTATTTAGTGTGTGTGTGTGTGTGTGTGTGTGTGTGTGGCCAGCTCAGCCCACCAGGGGGCGCAGCTGGCTGGCATGTGGTGCTGGGGGATCGAACCGCAGTCCCTGTGCTTTAGCCAAGCTTGTTCCAAGTAGGTGCTTTAGACCACTGAGCCATCTCTCCAGCCCATAGCACCGTTTTAATCTACACAAATTTTTAAGAAGAACTTTCATTTACAGTTTCAGGAAAAAATTCAACGCAGTATTTTACGTTATGTTTAAAAATTACAGCTGTCTCCCAAATTAGTCAAAACAGCCTTTCTTCAGACACAAACGGAAATCTGTGCTCAATCTGTTGAGATTCAGAAAGGCAGGGAAGAAATTTACCAAATGCCCCCACCTTAGCCTGTAGGAACAAAACATATTCCGTGAGTACTTAGGGGACTGTTTATCACATGCCCTGTTGTTCCTGAAAACTTATTTCCTAAAGCAACAGCATTCCTGAAAAACAAATCCGCTGCTCTCAAGCAGCAAGACTCCAGAAGCAGAAGCTGGGTTGTGGACGGGCCCGCCTGGTCTCGGACTGTCTGCCCTCGGCCCGCCCCGGATCAACCAAGTTATGTGAACTGACTAACTCGTGACAGCCTCGAGCGCTGGCCACTGGCCACCACTTTCAGATACCACCGCTCCAGTAGCAGCCCGGCCCAAGACAGCTCGATGCCCTGATTTCACCCCTGGACCAAGGTCTGAATTAGACTAAAATGACAGGTAAGAGTACTGCTGGAAAATGCCCATTCCAAACCCAATCTCTCAAGTCAGAATGGGAGAGGGAACTCCAGTCAGATTTACAAGTGGCCTGGGTTTTCCCAACCGCCGTCACTCCTGGGTTGGGGTCTCGGATGCGTGGAAGAACCTTCGATGTGGACCTGCAATCATCCAACACTCAAGCCCCTGGCGCCAGGGTCGGAGATTAGAAGAAAACTCAGGTCTGGATGGAGGATCCGGATCAGTAGTCTGGGAGGACCTGGGCAACCTTAAAAGCAAGCTCTCAGATTCGGTAAGAGTTCTGGGGTTAGAGGTCAAACGTCACGTCCCGAGCCGACGTCCAGGAGTCGGGAGCTAGGGGAGAAAAGCGGCGGCCTTCGTACCTGACTAGGAGCGAGCGCCTGCTGGAGCTGCTGCTGCTGCTGCTGCTCTTCGCTGATCTTCTGCTTCAGTTTCTTGAACATGGTGCAGCGCGGATCCTGAGTGTGGATGAGACCTGAGGGAGCTGAGCCCGGGGAGTCCCGGCCGCTGCGAAGGCGAAGGCGAAGGCGACTTCTCTACGCCAGGCACTGCGGGGGCTGGGCCTCGCCGCCGCCTCTAGAAATTTGCCGGCGGGCCGAAACACTCGCCCTGGGAGTGCCGCCGCGTCTCTTTCTTCTGGGTGCCACTGGCTGTCCTCGGCCCCCCATTCAGCCCGAGCAGAGGCGGCGGCGGCGGCCGCAGCAGCGGCGGCGGTGGCGGCGACGGCAGCAGGTGAACGGCAGCCAAAGGCGCTTGCGCAGCCGACGTGGAGCTCAGCCGGAGTTCCCTACGGAGCGCCGTAGAGGACAAGCGCGGAGGTGGTGCCGGGACATGCGCGCTCGCGCTCGCGCTGGCGCCCAAACGTGGGACCTTGAAAGACAGCGGCTCTCCGGCACGAAGAGGTATGCGTTGCGCCTCAGAACTGAAGGGAAGACTGACCTGAGGAGAGTGCTACTTATACTGAGGCGGCGAGGGCTATTGGCTCACATTGCAGAAGGCGATCCGGGGAACCTGACCCGAACCCTGAGCGATAGTGTGCTTCTGTTCAGTGTATGTGGTTGAAATTTTGTCTTCGGATGTGGGGCAGGATCTAGCTATGTTGCATGGGCTCAAGCAATGTCTGTCTGTTCTCTCTCTCTCTCTCTCTCTCTCTCTCTCTCTCTCTCTCTCTCTCTCTCTCTGCAGTACATAATGATTACATTCAGAATTACTTACCTTTTGAGCCTGATAATTCCAGCTGCTTCCCAGAGGTGCCCTCTTCCACTTAGGAAGTAGACCTCAATCACTTCATTCTTGCCGTCACTGAAATAATGTTTTCATATATTCATTTGAGAAAGACTGGCCAGGAGAGGATGATTAAATTGAATGATTAATCTGTAGGACAAAACGCACAGGCTCTATCGGGAGTAATGATTACAGTGCACTGCAGAAGCAAATAGATAATTAATCTGCAAGGCAAAAGGCACACAGACTCTGTGAGAATAATTAAACTGGGCCAAAGAGCAGGCAGGCTCTGAGGAGTGAACTATGGGACAAAAAGCACACAGGCTGTGTGAGAACTGAGTGGTTAAACAACAGGAGTTTAGAATAGCAAAGTATCCTGTGTCTGACCATCTCCTTCCCTTTTCTCCAAGAAAAACTGCTTAGCCTTGAGACAGCGCCTGGCCCTAACTGTTTTTTCTCCTGCTTTTTTCTTGCACTAATATTCTAAATAAAAGCCAGAGAGTTCTTTGCTTAATTGCTTTTTTCTTCTCCGGGAGTCTCCTTAATGGCTGGGCCCTTTTGGTGGAGAAATAACCCCAGGGCCTCTTGGTTATTGAACTAAAGTAAGTCTCTTCTCTGGGCAATCTTTTTTTCCTCCATGACTCCTGCTGTTACATACTGCGACATTCATTCCGAATCGGTCTCTCTCTCTCTCTCTCTCTCTCTCTCTCTCTCTCTCTCTCTCTCTCTGTCTCTCTCTGTCTCTGTGTGTGTGCACGCGCGCACGCACACACGTGTCTACCTCTCTGCCTCTGTCTCTCTTTTGTGTGTGTGCTTTCTTTTCTCATTCTAAGTGTTAA